GGCTCATCTTTGCATTCTCAAATCTTTCCTGTTCACTATGATAAATAGCATCACTACTAACAGGTTGAATGTGCAGTTGTTGTCATAAATGGGTCACTGTATTGTTGCTAGGAAAATATGACAGACATAAAAACTAAGGGTGGGGAATTGCAAAATAAAACGTCAGATGATTCCAAAGGCTTTTGCAATGTTGGCCACTCTTTAAAATGCCATATGTTCAATATCATCTGCATCTGCAAAAAAAAATCTGATATTTCAAAAGCTGTCTCCGTGCTAGGTTTGCAGCAGTGATGATGGTATTAACATGGAAAAGTATAAGTTTGGAGGCAGAGTAACAGCTCAAAATTTCAGCAAAGCTTACATAGTCCTTTCCCTTCTCTTCTTCTCTTTTTCCTGGTCGAGACCAGGATTTGCTCTCCTACTGCAGAACCTGTGGCAAAGGAAACCTTACACAGAGACCAAAAGGATATATCTACTTGACAAGGACAAAGATAGACCTGATTGTATTTCCCATAAAACCTCAAAAATCTCATAAGTTAATCATAGAACTGTCATGAAATATTTAATTTGTGATCCACTGAGCTTATGCATTCTCCCAGAAACAGACAAACAAAAGGGGTTACTATTCATGTGTTTGACTTTTGGGAGAGTGCTGTGCTGTTATCATTTATTTTGATCTAATAATCTAGTGCTGCACAATGATAGCAAATAGGTAGTAACAACCTTGGTAATACATTTCGTAAAAACTTATCTTCCAATAAAAATGGTGTGCATGCATGTGTGAAGAAAGGACTGTTGGGGTGAAGGGAAGATGTTAGGGATTTTATGAAAGCTTCTCTAACTTGACTAAAAAGACAATAATTCTAGACATGGATGACAAATAGGTTTTAAAAATTCTTAACTATAGGTATTATTTGTAGAGCTGGTTACAGACTGGAAAAGCATTAAAGTATGCCAGGTAGAATAAAAGGTGAAAATGCAAGTGAAAAAGAAAATAAATAAATAAATGATTGAAATAAGGTTGGGTTTTTCTAAAGATGTTTTATTTACATTTGTGACTGTTAACCTGTTATTTAGTGTGTCACAGTTAGTCTTGAGTCCTCAGTGTAAATATACACATACTTACGTGTTGCAGGGCTGAAAGCTGCAATGGATATTACTGTACTGTCTTGTTTTCAGCCAGTAGAAAAAGATAACAATCTCTTTGCTATTATTTATTTAATGGTTGTTCTAAATATTATTATTTATTAATAATTTTGAACTATAATAATAGTAATATAAACCTCTTTACATTATGAAACGTAACTCTGTAACCTTTGGGAGATGAGCAATCACACTTACAGTGTTTAGCATTCATGAGAAATATCTTTCTTTGGAATAAATGTCAGTATGGACAATACAATAATAGTAGCCAAAATGCCTAGTACTCAGAATGACAGTGCTCCCCCCTGTGCAGGATGCTGATTTAAGATTTGCCAATGCTTGGCTTCACATATGAACTTTCTTATCAAAAATGGGCCATCAGAAAGAGGATGTTTAGTCTTGCTTGAGGAATTATCTCTGGGAAAGTAAAAAAGAGAAAGTATGGCATAGCTGAGTGAGGTCTGCTAGTGAAGTAGAAGAAAATGATGGGGGTGTCTTATTCAAGGCTTTCTCACAAATGCATATATTAAAACCCAACAACAATAACATTAAAAAAAAAAAAAAAAAGAGAGGGAGATTGGTCCAAAATGGAGGGAGAAATGGAAGAGGGAATAGTATTTTGCTTTGCATTTGAATCCTGCTATCATCAGCACTCATAAGAAGCATATCCTTGGTCATTAACTTTTATGAAGTGCTGATTTCCCTTTTGGCTTCCACCAGTCTATCAGCCCTCCAGCTCCAGTTGAGCCAAGTAATTGCTCTGTATGATCCTCGAGTACGATATTTTCTCACAACCAACCTCTCACCATCTACCTAATAGCTTTGAGACAGCCTCGGTCTGTTGGACTGAATGACCACTAATGACCCAACTGTTCTTAGGAAGATGTTCTATTATGTTTAGAACTCATTGGACAAAGGCTTAAAATGTTTCTCTTATGTTTATAACTCATTGGGTGTATGATGCAGTGTAAAGCCAGCACAAAGCAGACAGGTGTTCTCGAAGCCATCTTTCTTTCCCCGGCTTTGTGTATGAAGCCTTCCCAAGCATTATAAATTACATGAAACTTGTGTCTACAGAACTCTGAAAAGTGAAATCCAGGGCTGATGGTGCTCTCTGTGGCCATTTTGAATGCTTAGTGTGTTGGTTTTCAGAAAATTAAATGGTTCCGACATGCAAAAAATTCCACTATCCCATATTTATTTTACAGGAGAACTCAGGTAGGTCTGAAGTGCAGTAGTATAAATCACAACTCCTTTCACAACTTTACAATTATTTCACAATTCACAACTTATTGAATATATGGTCTAAAGTATGAAACCAAATAAAGGTTCATGCTATGTGCTATATAAATACCCAGGAAGAGAAAAGGATAACCCTGTAAACTGCATTCTGTACGGAAGGTGTTTCAACACCTCTTCTAAGTGATAAAGGCACAGAGAAAAAAAATACCGTGTTGACAGTGGCCAGAGGACTCAATGAAAAAACCCACCAAAACTCCTTAGAGAATGGCAGTCATCTGATAACTGGTGAAGGGAATGTGGATCCATGTGAGGAACTTCTGTATTATCACAAACTGGTCATTCAAGGGAGTACCCAAGGAAGGCAGATGTTCCTAGATAAGAAATCTGGGATTGTCCAAAGTACCTGTATGTCCTAAAAAGAGAAGAGTCTTAGAAAGTCACCAGACCTTTTCTTTTCTTTCTTTTTGTCACACCAGGAGTTTTAAAATCCCGCTTGGATGGCAACCAATGTGACAATGGGTAGAAACAGAGAGATGTTGAAAATTAGGAAGCCATCCTTATAGTTAGCGTGCAGAGAAATGTTTCTAGTATTCATCAATTAAATGTGGAATTTTAACTGAACAGTATTCTCTTTGCAAAATGGTCAGTAGTTTTTCATCAAGCATTGTAAAGAAACGTGGATTAAAAATAGATTGAGCTTACTTAAGTGTCTGCCCGAGAAAAGACTGGCAGAAACAGGAGAAGGATGTGTTTTAATGATATGGAAAAAAATGGAAACCCATGGAAGAGATTAGGTTTTTAAAGATTTAAATAAATGTTGTCTCTCACACATATTTCTCTTTTTTTTTAAAAAAAGCACTTTAATTAGGTATTCTTTTTCAGTTTTTCCTTGAAGAATAAATAAAAAAAACTATCCCTTTTTAAGATAGCACTATTTTTGCATCTTGAATGCTAAATTCACTCTGTAGCTTGGATGCTAAATCTCTACACTGAAATCAAAATTTGTTTTGGCTTTTATGAATTCAAAAAATAAATAGAAAAAAACATAGTGCAGTAAGACTTAAATGAACTAAAAAGAATCGCAGTGATAGATTACATGAAGCCTTCTGCAATACCTAAGATGTAATATGAACCAATTTATACTCATTCTGTGCCATTTGAGTGTGTCATTTACAAGTCCCCTCATTTCTAGGTGTCACTGTACATGACCAGCACATCATCCTCACCTTCCTCCTTTAATACTGCCATGCCACTGTATCTATGTTTGTATGTAATAGAGTAATGTATGAAATGTACCAGTAAATGTAAAAATGCCTCTCAGACTAAGAAGATATTTCTCCAGGATATATCAGTCTGATTCCTAGAAAGGGAGCAATTAATCTCATACTTCTGCTGAAGACCTCAAACTTAATGGCCCTTTATGGAAAGGAGTGTTCTTCCTTTGCTCTCCTTACCAGGAAACTCAGCACCTTGTTTTTTTCTCTCTGCAACAGTGTCCTCACAAAAAGGATAAACTGCCCAGACACTTGCTGTCAAGGAGCAGCAACCACAAAAGTGCTTCTCTGAAAAATCTGGCAATAGATTTTTTGAACAGAAGAGGAATTCAGTGATGCTAATAATCTCCTGCAGCCGGGAGAAGCTGATATTTTAGTAAACATTCCCTTTTGGTATGAACTTTTCCCCTCTCCTATGTTAGGGGGACTGTTTACATATAATAAGGAAAAAAATTCCATTTCCATGTCAAAAAAAAAAAAAAAAAAAAAAGCCTCTGTGGGCCATCAGAGCTGAAAATAAACCAAGCTGGCTGCCTCTAGGGATTTATTGAATTCAAGTGCCCGTGACTCATTCCATGATTACAAAAAAAAAGAATACCTTTCAAATTTGCCACATGAGAGACTGAAACAGGGTTCTCAGTGCTGCTGAATGGTAGGAGAGAGGAAGAAAGGAAAGGCTATACCAACTCTCATACAAAATATGTCTGTGTTTTGCTTCCCTAGCATCCAGTGGCCACTACAGTCAATGGAAAAAGGGTTTTAAAAAATAATATATGCTTTAAAGAGAAAGAACTTGAAACTCGCTGTGTATGCACTTCACAGGAGTCATCACCAGAAAGAAAATGAATTCTCTATGTGCTGAGTGTAGTGGGTGCAGAAACAAAGATGCTATTAATAGGTGTTATCTGGAATACATATGGAAAGAACAAAATGTATGGTGAGACTCTTTCATCCTGATTCTGATGAAGATGGAAGAGCAAGAGCTTCGTTGCAAGGATAGTGGAGATTTAATATTATGCTGGGAGCAATTCCAAGTGAAATGACAAGAAGTTGTCAGAAACAATGAGTACTCTGAACACAACACCCTGCCCTACCTTCCCTGAACCAGCCACTGAAGAGTTAATGCTGCTTCTCCACTCCCCAGGTGGGAAATTAGGGTAATAGGTGGCAGCTGTGCCAGGTAGTGGCCCTCTGTAAATACAGGCTTCTCCAAGCAGAGTGCCCCTATAAGAAGTGGAAATGGTGCCTGAGTAAGCTGGGGCTATGTTTGATTTTAGGCTTTGCTTCTTGCTGTCCATCTCTTCTTAGTAGTTACACAAATATCTTTTTCATTTGCTGCAGTCAGTAAAACCTGGATCTTCTCTTCTGACTGAGAACTTGTTGCAATGGCGACCTTCATCTGCTTACAAGCCATGGATGAAATCTGTAAGTACCTCAAAATTGTCCAAAGCTTTGTAAATAGTAGCTGGGATGCTGCAACAATTCAGTTAGACTGAAGATACTAGGAACATAGGGAGAATCTACAAGTGTGAGAGGGCTGCAGTTTGAAAAGAGAACAAACAAGGGAATGAGAGTAATTAAATGTGGGTCAGCCCATATTCTGCAACAGGTGGATATGCTTGATGAGCGTGGCCTGATCCTCCTCTCATAACCATATCTGCAGTTGCTTACCTACACATGAGGTGGTCCTAGTAGAACTTTCTAGTAGGCAGGCAGCTAAGTCTAAAAAGTTAATGCAAATTAAGGCTGCTTAGTTACAGTTTTTGTTCAACTGATCTTTGTTCGTTCATTGCAGCAGAAGTCACCTTATTGAGAGGAATGAAGTGAAACAAAAAATATAAATAGAGGGTATCAGACTTTAAGAGAAAAAATGAGTCATGTTTTATGCACTTCTTATGCATTTTTGGCTTTCTGGGAGATTTGTGGGGATTGATTACTGAAAAATCAGTTCTTAAGGGAATGAACAAGCAATTAGTAGCATCATGATCATCTGTTTCTGTATTTTATGCCTGCGTGCCTCATAATGCCAACGTCTGCAATGCAGAGTGCGGTGCCATACGGTTCACCACACTGAGCTCAGGGGACACTGGCCCCAGAGAAGGTGAACTGGGCCAGTGGGGGAACGTGCTGTGTAATGTTCCTGGTCTGGTCACCTATATCGGAGCTTGTGGGTGGCTGAAGTTCAATAAGTTGCTTTGGGAGCACAAGTGATGTGGGTCATTTCCAAAGAGATTAAAGGTACTCCTCTTTTGTATAGTCATGGCTGTAAAGCGGTTTGGCTTTTCTGTGCAGCCTTGGAGCTATTAAGGTAATAGGCAGAAAGGGCAGATGGAACATTCATGGAAGTAAGCAGAGATGTTAGTGGTAATGGTCTGAGCTTCTCTTTTCCCTTTCCCTTTCCTTTTTTTTTTTTTTTTTTTTTTGAAGAAAGTGTTCTTGATCTCTAAACGGCTGTGCTTGATGGAGGAGGGGGGGGAAATTTCTCTCTGCTCCTTCTGCTAGAAAGAATATAGAGGAACAGGAAAGGAGATATGAACAGGGAGCCAGATTGTCTATCTAGTGAAGCCATGATTGTGGATATTATCTCTCAAAGATTGGCCCAAGGGAGATGGGAAGAACTGGAAGTAAAAAGGAAGAGATGCTGGAACTGAAGTATTTTCTTTCTCACTCCAGCCCAGTAATTGTATCAACTAGAAATCTGACTTTTAACTCTACCTCCTCTTCTGTCTTATGATTTTGAAAAATTCACCTCTAATAGTAGATGGGACACAGTTTGCTACTAGCTGATCCAATGGGATAATTCCTTCATGAAATCAGATCCCTCACACATGCCCATCTGCTTTAAGCCCAGCAGCCTTCCCAGAAGGCAGTCTGGCATTCATCTGGAGACATTAGATGTCCACTAATTCTCTACGTATTTTCTTTTCTAACTTATATAACATCTGTAGAATCTGCTACATAAGATACTGTGTATTTGGTGTTTAAAAGAAATCACAATGTCTATAGAATTGCAGAGTAAAATGCCGAGTAGTCAATGTGAGGAGTAGATTGAAAAAATAATTATATTAAATTAAAATTCAGGTCTAGCTTTTTCTCCGCTTGTTTCAAAGTCTGTTGTCATAGCTACTGCAGCATAAGCCCGCTCAGTATGTTCACTTTCTCTTTAAAGACACATAAACCTCTTTAAGAAAATTGAAGTAACTGAGCTAATATCTGGGGGAAAAAAAACCCAACTTTGTGCATCCGTAATTTTATCACGAGCTATTATTTGGATGAGGGATATTCAGTCTTTATCTGCTAGGATCTATTTATTCCTCAAGGCCAGGGAACCAGATAATAATTAGTTGCACTATAGTGCACAACAGTTGCAAACTTCAAAAGGGTCAAAATTCAGCATGGCTATTTTCCCTTGGTCTCAGTTGTTAACATGATTTATCTAAACAAGTGTTTGCCACAAACTTTTGTCTTCCAGGAGCAACAGAACATTTCTATTTCTGGACTAGGAGGCACTCAAAGTTTAGACATCTCTGAAAATATTAATCTTTTAAATTTTGCTTAAAGTTTTGACAAATATCTCGGATTGCTTTGCTCTTTAGTTGTATTGCTTATCTTATAATCTCATTCTTTTACTCAGATTTAACTCTTTTCTCACAAAAGTCCAATAATGTGATATGTCAATTTAGATGAAACATTTTTGCTTAGGTGAAAGTATGTTTTTCAGGTTACACAGGAAGTTAGAAGCTAATTATTATTTTGTTGCAAGTCAAGTGTAATTTATCTCTGTCGCATCTGTCTAAATCAACACGGGTGCCTGGCCTGTGAGCTCTCTTTCCCATCATTCCTCTTGTGGCTTTGTCCCACTGCATGACCTGGGCTGTCTCACTCAAGTTTCTTTGCAGCTTAGCATAGTACCTGTTATGATCTTCGTCCCTTAGCTGAGCTGCATCCTGTTTTACTACATTTGGGGAATTCCGTCTGGTTAAGAATTGCTTTATATCCACAATATGTCAAATACTAGGTACTGGCAAATATTCTCTCTATCATCCCTGTAATGATCTGACAGATGGGTGTCTTATCTCAAGAAAATACCCAAAAAGAAATGTCTTGCTGTGCAGATAGGAAATATCTCTAAAACCCATGTGTCACCCACAAGGTGATAACATATGCTGTTTCTGCTTTGCCTGGTGGTAAGCAGTTTTTTCTTTGCCCAGTGTTTTTGAACTACAGTGTGGACACTTTGGATCATATTTTTGACAGATTTTAAATGTTTCCAAATCCATAATTTCATACTTTTTTTCCCAGCTGTCTGTAGTCCTGATAGCTGTTTCTTTCTTTACAGGGAAACTTTTTTCTATAAAGCTGACTAAGAAATGAGGTGGGGAACAAAATAGGATGTTAATCAGTTTCAAGACAGTTTTCTAGAACTTCCTACTAGGCACTTTTCTGACAAGAGACAAAACAATGATTGTGCAAAATGTTTGAGCATTCAAATAATCCTGAATGTATGAGAGAAATCGTATATTGAGGCTGGAATCTATGCCATATTTAGCTTTTTACTCTCTTTCAACACAGTTGTTTTAAGTCGTTTGCTGTCCATAGGCTCACTCACTGGCTTAAACACACACACACACATATATACATATATATATATATTTCACTGGATGTGGACCTAATTAAGCAAATTCAGTCTGGTTTTGCCTCTGGCTTTGCTGGCTGAAAGTGATGCGGCAATTCACGTGAACTACTTCTTGCCAATTTATTCTTGTTTCTGAAATGTGTAGTCTTTCAAGGCATGTAGAATGGTTCTTCACATGATCTACAAAGACCTAAATTAATGTTTAATGCAATGTTTTACATATGACAATAATTACATGCTGCATATTACCAGTTATGAAATAATGTAATAACTATCTACAGGTGAAAGTTCTTTTAACTTCTCAATATAATGTTTTCCTGTTCTGGCACTTGGCTTTCCTTAAGTACAATCCAAGAAATAATCTGTTGGTTAACTGCCTATTTTACACCGCTGCTAACTCTTTTCTCTCTGGTATGGTCCTTTGTAGAAAGGCTAGATATGCTCTCTTGTTCAATATTTTAATTTTAAAAGAAGGAAGTTTCCTACAAAAATAAGAATAGGCACGGTTTGGTTTGTGTGTTTTGGTGTAAGGGTTGGTTGATAAAATGCTTAATGGACAAGCTTTAAGAGAATTGTGTGCTATAATGGGCCTGGGAGGTGTTAATATGCAAATGTTTATATGTCAGCATGCAAACACCCACTGATGTCAAAAGTGAAATTTTGTGGCAAAATCACTGTGTGTGGTTTTTTTTCAAAACAACCAACTTTTTAAGGTCACTGAGCCATATTTTTATGTAAAAGCTAAAAATGCTTCATGTACACCTGAAGATAACAGGTGTTATCTTCCTCCTAGACGTATTTTGTGCCTAACATAGCTCGAGAGGGATGTTTTCTCATACATCTGGCTGCCTGAGGTGTGGGCAGAGAGATAAGTTTAGCAGCTCACGTGCCTTCCCCTCTTCTCTGGTCCTCATTAGACAACATCTACTTAGTATTTAAAGAGCTGTATCAGCTTTTTCTGAGCTCCCTTTGGCTGGGTGGAAGCTTTCATGACAGACTCAGCTGTAATGTGACTGAGCGGCCATGCTGTGCTCTCAGGAGGATGGGGCTAATGGAAATCCAGCCAACCCAGAGAGCAGCTTGATGTAAAACACTTGTACAGCACAAAATGCTTTCACATCACCTGCAAAGAAGGCTGTACCAGCTGCTTGGCTGGTGCAGGATGACACTGGAAAAGAGACAACTGTGCACCAGGGGCCCTCAAGGCCTGATGTAACCAGACTCCTTTGTTTCTGCAAACAAGCAGGTCCAGGCTGCAGTCAGTAATACTGGTGCATTATAAGTAAGTGTCTTGATTTAGTGTGTCATACTAACTCACACTTCACAAAAACTGTAATTTCACTGAAAAACGTTGAAGTCAACCGTAATGAGGAATTTTGCTTGTCAGCTGTCTTTGTGTAGCTATGAAGTTACTATTACCAGATCATAAAACACTATTAGCTTGCTGTTCAGATCTGAAAATGTGAAACTTGAATCTATCTCCTTTTTTCTAAGGAGTACTGCCCAGCACCCCCAGTTGCCTCTCTGAAATGGCTCTTAGGAACATCTATACCAACTACCTCCCAGCACTCCTGGACAGGTTGGTCCATGAGGTGAAGAAACCTCTCTTGGGAGAAAAGATTTTACTGGTGATACCAAGGTAGATGTCTGTTAGCTTTGCCTTCTCCTACAACATGACACTGCCAGTGAAATCTTGAGCTCTCACACTATGGTCAATATGTTGCTCAAACCGTCCGTCACAGTTGCTACAATAACTTCCATTTTCTGTTTGATTTAGTAGCAGTAAGAC